AAACAAACCAACCAACAAAAAAAAGCGAAGCGCCCCTCTTTGTTGGCGAGGCTGCCGGTTAACTACATAAAATATTCCTCTCCAGCGAGGCCTGTTGGGAGGCTCTTACAAACTTTTTGGAATTACAAGAGGAGAAGCGGTGGGGAGGAATGGCTTGGGGTTTCCTGATGGCTAGAGGACGAAAGTCCCCACCACGAGTTTAGGCACAGAAATGAATGCCAACTGTCTTGTGTCACTTGTTTCTTTCAGCACGTTTTACTGCCACGTTGGACATAGTAGGGTAAAACAACCAGGGAACGTAAACTGAAGTAGGATATACCTTGTTCTGATTATTTTTTATATTACTCATTTTGTGATGTGTATAGACGCGCGCGCGCGCGCGCAACCGATGGATCAACATTTAGTTGATACGAAAAAAGCAGACCCTGCACCTGCAGGAAAACGCTAGGAAGAAAAAAATATTTGACGTTGTGTATGTTTTCTTGTACGCTGTTTATACAGATTAATATGGGCTTATTTAATTGATGGCAGAAATAGCTGCCCAATTGTATTTCCTGCATTTGGAAAACAAGAGTTATATAAACTTTCCATATTTCTGACATACAGGCATATACATCCAATGGACACATAGAGACAAAAACCCATGCACTGCAGTCAGGATTCTGGATAAATTTGGGTTCAGTCAAGAATGCTTCATTTCCACATACTGAAATACAGATTTGTAAACACAGAAATTGGATTTTTTGTCAGTTTTACAGAGCTTCACCAGAAGATGCATTGTTGACCACTTTAAAATTCCACACCATGTAAATAAATTGTTTTTCTATTATGAATCTGAGTAGAACTGAAAAGTTATATGAGGAGAGACTAGAGGACAGAAGTATGTCTCAGAATAAGCAATTACTCTTTGTGAGGTGATAAATTTAAGTGAAAGACACTAAAGAAAATGTAAGAAAGATTATTTAATATAATCAATGCAACTTTTCTTAAAATTGATAATATAAATTGAGACAGTTGCAAGAAACAGTGTAATCAAGGCAAGAAACCATTTTTTTTGCCTAGAACTTTGTATGAATGGAATGAGAAAAGTGAATTTGGAAAATCTGTAGATGGAGTAACAGGTATTTTTAACAGTAGTACAAAATTTTTTAACATTTGCACTACTGGGACTCCATCCAAGTGGTTGCAATTAATTGAAGTATGAAAGTCCAATTAATAGAAGTAGTGAAAATTAAACCAAATATTTGTAATAGTATTGGGAATCAAACTGTAAATTGAAAGTTAATAAAAGCAGGGGGCTAATAATTAGCATTAATAAAAGAGATTCTTCCTGATAATGTTGCTTCACAAAAATTTTCAGAGTGATTCTTACATCCTTCATCAGAATAGTCATCATATGTAATCTGAATTATTTGGTCACTTTTCGATTAATTTTAAGTTCTACTAATTTCATTAGAAAATCAACATCCCGAAAATGTATTTCCATGACGTTAGGGTGAGATCCAATTCATATTGTCTTCATTTGGGGAACAGAATTTTATAAGACTGATCTGATAAAGTAATCCTCTGAAAAAAGAAACTAAAAAGTTGAGGTGGGGGAGAGAAACATTCAAAAACAACTGACTCTGATAGCAAACAGCAAATTTCTGCAGCTATGAAAAGTAACATAGGACAGCTGTCATACCTTACTTCTGAGTGTGATTCTAATTCATAATACAGAGGGCTAAATAATCCCAATGGCACTCAGTCATTCTTTTGAGAATAATTCAATATAAAATGTTTTAGGAAAATATAACTTGAGAAGAAAGACCAGATACTCTCTTACTGAAGGATCTGAAGAACAATGAGAAACAATTTCAACCTGCTAGTGATAGGTGGATCATATGATTTGCCTGCAGTAGATTTTAGATTCCATTCCTAGCATCTTCAGGAAGAGTTGGAAAAAACTCCTGGCTGAAATCCATTGCTGTAGAGTAGGCATTCCTGACCTAAACGTACCCATGTCTGATTCATTATAGAAACCGAAACAGGCTTCAGAAAAGTTCCTGTCTGTTTACATCTGTAGTTAAAGAAAACTTGTAAACAGTCCACCTAATTGCCTGCGTTAAGAATCTTCTCTTTCTACAAAAGAAACTGTTTCTCCTTTCAGAACAACAATGACTCACATAAACGTTTGGCAGACAGGGTAGTAAATATGTTTGTACTGCAATGGTTTGTCAAATTCTGACTGGGAAAATTCCAAGAAGTCTTCATTATAACTAAAATACAAGATGTTAGTACTTACCAGAGTTCCAATAATCCTATTAGATAAAGTATTTTTTTCTGCACCACAGAAAAAAAGAGAGCGATACAATTTTTAAACTACCACAGAGCAAACTCTGAAATCATGTTATCAGTTTTCTTCAATGTGATTCCATCTCCTTTTGTATCTAATTGCTCACTTTCATTTTTTGTAGACATGGTTAACATTTCTTACAGTCACATTGAAGACTATAAAGGTTTAAGGTCCAGAACAAGTTCAAATTCTGATTCCAGGTGTGAGCTGTTAAAGCCTTCTCCAAATATTCAGGAATTGTGTATTGCAAAATGGAGTACAAAGTTTACTTTAAAAAGACACATTTTCCTCTAGTTCCTTTAGTTTTTGCTATACAGTAATAGGTAATTTACTCTTCAAAAATGCCTTTGAACTAGCACACAACTCATGTATTTCTTAGCTTTTATATCCTTGCACAGAAGGGGAAAATTGATGTATGAATTTTGGTGGTATACAGTTGACAAGTATGCTCATAGCAGTTGACACCCAGTAACTGGCTGAAACACAGAGATTTAAATGGATATGTTGGAAAGATATAAGTGGATATTTTCTATTTAACGAGCTTATTCATAAAAATGCTAAATACGTCAGAATATTGAATGTCAACACTTAATAGTTATTAGCATCTGATAACCTCTGCATTGGTGATAATAATCCACTTAGCCACGGACAGTTTGGAGAGGAATGCTAGTTATTATATGCATTTAGTTTGTCTGTGTAGCAGATATATACTATTATTTGAAAATATTTCAATATTATATGTAGAAATGAAACCTGAATAAGGTTTTCTATCAGGTTCAAATTCTTTTAGAAGTTTACAGGGATGCATTGCAGTTCCAAAGGCACATATTCTTGTCAGAGTTTGCGAAAAGCTGAAAAGTTTTGCCCTGTTGCCAATAAAAGCTTTAATACGTTATTGTAAATATCTTTTCAGAACTGTATATTTTTCTTTGGACAGTAGGAAGGAGTATATGCTTTTGGAAGAACAATGACCTCACATAGATTCGTGTAAATGTTAAAAGGAACGAGGAGAGAGTTGATCCCTGTGGCATCCCACAAAACAGAGGCCTAGTGCTGGACCTCTCCCCTCCCCACCCAGCAACTGGAACCAACCTTGGAGGAAGGCGAACCACCAAAGAACTGTGCCCCCAACTCCCAGCCTTCTCAGCCAGTCCAGAAGGATGCCATAACTGATGGCGTTGAACACCAATGAGAGGTCAAGGAGGGTCAGGATGGGTAAACTACCCCATCCCAGGCTCACCAGAGGTCATCCATAAGTGTGATCAATGCTGTCTTGGTACTTGAAACCAACTGCAATAGGTCCACATAACCTACTTCCTCCTGATCCCTCAGTGCTTAGGCCTACCAGCTTCTCAACAAAAAAGAAAAGTTGGAGACTGGGCAAAAATTGTCCAATGCTGTTGGGTCCAAGGCAGGCCTCCTGAGGGGTAGACCACTGCTTCCTTTAAGGCAGGTGGAAACAACCCCTCTTCAAGGAAACATTCACCAGCTGCATATCACTTCTCTGGAGACCTTGACCAGCCAGGAAGGGTATGAGTCTAGTACACAGGTAGCAGAGCTCAGATTCCCAGGGACTCTGTCTACTTCCTTGGAAGTCATTGGATCAAACTCAGCCCAGATAACTGGGTAAGACAGCCCCAGTCATCTCCATAGGACCAGCATAGTTAGAGGTCAGCTCCAAGTAGATCCTGGTGACTTTATCCAATACATGCTTGATGTAATTCTGAGAGTGACCCTATAAGGGTTCCTCTGATCCCTTCTTAAGGGGATTTAACTCATTATAATCTATTATTCCAAAATATATTAATTTTTTTCCATCTTTCTGAGGCATTTTGAGTTGCCTAAGTTTCACAATTTTAACTTCAGAAATTTCAACTAATTGAAACTTCACATTTATATTTTTAAAGCAGTAACCTCATGAGAAGCAAAAAGATACATTAACAATTAAGTCTGATATTAAACAGTTTCCAGATAACAGGTAACTGATTTTAAACAGTAACATTCACTTACAAACATAAATTACTTATATTAACTTCTCTGTAATTGTTAATATATAGTACACAGGTAAAGCTGAAAGCATGTAACTGAATTAATGTCTCATTACATGTCTTATAATGAATACAGTAGTTGAGGGAAGATTTGAACTGGGGCTCTCCTAATCTAATATACTTCTAACAAGGTATGGCCATCATGATTAATAACTGCATGTGTTCCTATCTGAATATGACTGTAGCTGTAATAGGTAGCTACCCCAGAAATTTAGCTCTGTTGGTAGGTTTCCCTACAGTTTTGCTACTGGAATAGGGGGGAAAGGTACTTTCAGTTGTGCTCTTGGGAATGACAACATATAATTAAAAGAATAAATTGCCATCTACAAAATGACATTTGGGAGTATTTGACCATTCATTCATTTTTTCATGTTATGACTGCCCATTTGCCACTATATTGAATGAACTGCCATGATACTGAATGTGCTTAAGGGTAAATTTTAGGTTAGTTTTATTTCTAAATGATACTCTAAGGGTAGTGCAAATATTACGGATGACCTTTCCTTCTAATTGTTTCTTGTGGAGAGGGGGTAATGGTATTTTTTTCTTCTTGTCCTTTACATTTATCAAATACACCTGCTGTGGAATTTTGGTAATACTGTATGAAGATTCCTGATTCTTTAGGGAATTCTAAAAATTTTAATTTCCAATCAGATTCACTTCTGTTGTAGTGCTATAGCTAGAGGGCCTCCCTCAATATGTGGCATTGGCAACAGGATGGGGTTGGGACTGTACCAGGGTGTCCATGAGATCATCAGGCTATTGCAGTTCTTCTACAGGTGAGCAGATTTACTTCCTGCTCAGCTGCAGCACAAGAGGAAAGGTTGCAGTAACAGCGGGTGGGTGGTTTTCCATTAGTGAGAACTCTTGTCCTGTCTCCTAGCTCTCCACCTTCTGTGCTGGGGTCCTAGTGGCTAGCCATCAGGTACATGTGCTTTGAAAAAGTGAATGGCTGGTTGCTTTTGTTTTTCCTGTGAAAACATGCACAGAAGGCAGCAGTGAAGATTGGAGAATAGGTGGGACACCAGCAGGAAGTTCATTTTTCTGCTCCCTGGGGTCATTTGGAGAGAACATTAGTCAACACATGCGGAATACTGAGTTGTGTTGAGAATAACAAAAATGAGGCAATTTGTGGGATTGTGCAAAAATGCTTCTGAGAGAGAAGCTGGTGACTGTTTGAAATGCCTTCTTGGATTCCCAGACCATGAAGTAAGCAGCTGACACTTATGTTTACAATCAACTGATCAAGATAGCCATAAATTGCCATTCCTATGTTACATAATAGGAACATTGTTCTATCACTATCATATTACAATTTATTTGTTTATTAATCATATTTATATAGCAGCCTGTCTCACAGAATCTGGGTGGCGTACAATAAAAACAAACCATAAGACAAATATTTTAAAAACTCCATAATAAATACTATTATAATCTGTGTATATAATATATTAGGCCTTTGAAATAGACATGTTAATAAATATTTTTCCTTAAAGTGCATATTACAGAAATCTGCTTAACTTACTTGAACCTGTAGCATCAAATGGAGCAAGTTACAAAAAGCAAAAACTTCATTTTTGTCATGAATTCAATAAACTGTAGGGAAAATTCAAATATATATACTTCCCATTTGTATTAATGTTGATCTACTCTACAGAATTGTATTTAAGATAATTTTAAACTTTCTAAAACACTATACAAATGCTAAGTTATTATTTTAGGGTATATTAGAACGCCTAGATGCTGGAGAAATCGTGATTGGTGATGGAGGATTTGTCATTGCTCTTGAAAAGAGAGGTTATGTAAAAGCTGGACCATGGACTCCTGAAGCTACAGTAGAACACCCAGAAGCAGGTAAAGTTTGTTTGTTTGTTTATTTATCAAATCATATACTGTGAATTGGATAGTTCTCCAGTTGTAGAATAAACATATTGCTCCGGTCCAATTAAAATGAGTTATTATTAAGGCTTTTAATTTCATTTGCTAAGGAGTTAACCATATTCAGCTTAATTTCTTTCAGTGACTTAGTTAGGTAGACACTGTTGGGCACATTTTGTGTGTACTACTGAAAATAGTTCTATCAGTCCCATAGTATTTACTCTTCTGATTTATACCTATCTTTATTTTGTGATTATGATTTAAACAAAAAAAATGGCTTTATTGTTAAATGTTCAGTCTTCTAGATGTTTATATTTTCCCAGTTTCAAAAATACTTTAACGATAGGTTAAATAAAATTACCATCTTCTTTAAACTAGTCTATAGTCTTTTGTTCTCAGGACCCTTCTCACTTGTAAAATTATGGAGGACCCCAAAAGAGCTTTTGTTTGTATGGGTTATATTTATCAATATTTACCATATTAACAATTAAAATTATGCATTCATAGAATATTTATTTATTGAATCATATAAAAATAACAATATTAAACCCATTCGATATTAACATAAATAAATTTTTTTCATGAAAAAGCCCTACATTTTTAACAAATAAAAAATAACAATGAAGAGTGACATTGTTTTACATTTTTGCAAATATCTTCTATATCTGGCAATTTGATTGCATGGACTCCTGAGAGGGTTTTGGAGGATCCCCAGGGGTCCTTGGACTATACTTTAAGGAACACTAGCCTGTGGCATTTAAACATAGCATCGTCACTCCCTCCCTCCCTCTTCCTTTCCCTTTATAACACAGCATCCTGGATTATAAAGAGAACAAAGGAAAGAAGGGGGTGGGATAGGTTGTCATAACACCACCACCACCAGAAGTTACTTGAATTCAGTAGTTTCTTAGGTACCCTCTATAGCTTATGCTACCAGAAGTTACATATTTCAGTAATTTTCAACAACCCTGCATCCAAAATCATTTGGCAAAATAATTCCTCTTCCCCTTAAGAACATCCAAAGAGTTCTGATGGATCATGTCAAAGGCCTGTATAGGTAGTCCTCGCTTAATGACCATTTGTTTATGATGATTCAAAGTTATGACAGCCTTGGAAAAAAGTGATTTACTGCCTGTACTCACATTTAGGACTGTCGCAAACCATCACACCAGCCCCCTGCAGTCAAGTAATCCCGATTTGTGACTTTTTATGATGGTCATTAAGCGAATCACGTTGTTAAGCAAAAAAAGTTCATGGGGAAGCTGGACTCAGTTAACCATGGTGAGTCACTTAATGACCGTCGTAAAAATGATCGTAAAATCGGGTCTGGTCACATGGTGACTTGCTTAATGACCAATTCTCTAGTCCCTAGTGTGGTTGTTAAGCGAGTGCTAACTTTTGATGTCACATAGTGGCCAAGCAGATGCGTTCAAGAAGCTGATAAGTATGGGTAGGAGAGTGATACCCTCCTTCACTGTTGCTTCATTGCAACTGAGTTTTAAGATATGTATATCTAGAGCTAGTAAATCAAAACTAGTAGCTACTGATAGCCAGAGGCAAAACTGTGCCTGCCATGGCTTGAAGTGAAATCAAGGGTGGTAGTACTACTCTTGCCATTAATTTTGTTCCCCGTATTTTACTCAGACTCACTGAAAATAAAATAGAGTTTTTAAAAAGTAATAAATGTTTTGTGAAATTCACTGAGAAATCTCATAAACCAATCAGATACAGATAACTCAAGAATAGAACAGGCGTATTATTTAATATTTAAATGGGTCAAGATTTGAGGAGGAGTGAGTGTATGTATGAGAGAAACAGAGCAGTAATGTCAGCAGCAACATCAGATCATCAGATTTGAATAGGAAATTAAATATTTTGGTTGAACAGTATCCTGCATTCTTGATTTTGCATGGTGTGAAATATGTGCTGCCCTAATCTTGTTGTGAGATTAAGGAAAATATTCTGGAAATGTTTTTTGGAATTAAGAACTTTTTACAGTACTTTTTTTTTTTTAAATTAAGAACTTTTTATAGTACTTCACTCAGTAGATACTGCTTCCTAAATACCACCTTTATTGAAATTCTATTTATGCATATAATAGTGCCCCCCTCCATTCAAAAAGTATGCAGTCAGTGCAGTAATGATGTTGCTAGCTGAAATTAGATATTGTCTTGATAGTCAGTTATAATGATGAATATACTGGATAAAAAACTAACAGAGTTAATGGATACAAAAGACAATGCCTCATTTTTATAATGTCATAGTAGAGGCCTGCATAACATACAGCTTGTGAGCTGCATGAAGCCCACCCAGCAGCCTTGTGCGGCCCACTGGTGTTTTTTGAAAAATAACCAATCTATAGCTGCCAAACATTGCTGCCACCAGGAAGGATCTCCTGGCGCTGCATAGGTTTTAGCAGTTACTTCTGCCCCAGAAGACATGCTATCTCATGGACACTGCCAGCTCCATTGCTGCCGCCATGCTACTAGCCGCCAAACAGCTGATTGACACACCAGCTATTCCTTTGTAGCCCACAATTATTTTCAAGGTATTAATCTGGCTGTTTCCCTTTTATGAGTTGTGCAGGCCTTGTGGAGGCTTTTAATTAGATATCATCATTTTAACCCTGTGTATATAGAAGTTTTCCTAATTGATGTAAATCACCATTATTACTATTTTGCAAGCAGGGAAAAGAGAGTTAGAAACAGTGTTAGATCTGTGTTTGCACAAATCAATATCTCTGAGATGAGCCTGGAGCTCCTCCTAATTCAAATGTCTTGTTTATCTGTGTGGACCTACATGTGGAATAATTTAATAATACTTCATGATGTACCATTTACAAGCTGAGATGTACAGGATTTCTAGGAGCTAAAATAACAGTTTTTCTAAACAAATCAGTTACAGCTTTTTAAACACAGTAATGTTGAGTCTCATTTAAAAACATTAAATCAAGATACTTTGGACACAAAATGGGACACAGAATCATAAAGAGACAATAACTTTGTTAAATGATGACTTCCGGGTGAGAGCCATGGTGAGCTAAATGTCCCTTTATAGAGGGATGGCGTTACAACAGAGATTGGTGCAGTATGCAGGATTCTGGCCACCAAAATGCTCTCCGTATTAAGGAGAGATCTTTGAGATAGCCCACATGACTCCATACAGCTGCTCTTTGTGAATAAACTGCAGGAATTGTCATTTCGCAGTTTGCCTATGGGTCGAGTGGCTGGGAGTCGAGGGAGGAACCATCTTTGCTCACAGTTGTTAACGCAGCCTTTTAAAGAACAATAAGCTTGACAGAGCCTCACTTCTTAATCACTTTGGATTAAACACTAAAAAGGTGCTGAGAATATGGACTTTAGAAAGTTTAACAATGGATTAAGGTCTCAGATGGATTTGGAATTATAATTTTAAATGCCCACAAAGAGCTTTGAATTAACTAGAAGAAATTTTCCTTTGGGAAAAAGGTGTTTTGAGTTCTTTTATAAGGGGACTTTGAAGGATGGACACTAGAGGGACCAAGAGGATAAAGAAAATGGAGCAGAAATCTATAATACAAACCTGGGAATATCTGTCTGCCAAGTTTTTTGACAGAATTGATAAACTTCTTGAGAAAATTGACAGAACATGTAATGAAATTATAGAACAAGAACAATTTGCAATGGATGATTTTGAAATCACTTTGAAGAGGGATTTAAATGTAACAAGCAACGAGAAAGATATGGAGAAAGATATGGGCACACATATGGAACCAATACATGACTTACTCCCAAAAGGAGATGTACAAATATTGAACCAAGAAACTGACTTGGATAATTTTTTTTAGCAGATATACAAAAGAGCTCTGTTAAGGTTTTGAAGGACTTTCTTAGAAATGACAAACAAAAGGACAAACTTTACTTATTGGGCATACAAAAGAAATCTGCTAAACATCTGAAAGAGTTTTGGCTTAAAACACAGATGAACAGAAAACTAGCTCTGGAACTCTTTTTGAAGAGGTTAAAAGCTATTTTTAAAAACTCAGGGAAGGAATACAAGGTTGGCTTATTCAACCAGGGATAAAGGAGAAAAATAGTTACATCTGGTTGCCCTTACTGGATTTTGCTGACAAACAACTGACAAAGCATTTGGATTTTTTTTTCCCCAAGAGATGACATATGGGGTGAAGGGAGATTATGTTGTATTTAGAGATAGTGATAAGCTATTAAGATTGTCTTTTCTTGCTGGGAGGAAGGGGGAGGTGGCTTTTTTCTTTTCTATTTTTTTTTCTTTTCCACACTTTTTTTCCTTTGTATTTTTCTTTTTGTATTTTTTGTAGCCTGTATTGGCTTTTATTCTTTTCATTTATAATTCTTAACAACATTATTTGAAAAAAAATAAGTTTGTTAAAAGATGTTGCTGCCACAGTGCTAAGAGTGTTTAACTCTTTATTTTGCTTAAATATTTTGTAGTTCGTCAGCTTCATCGAGAATTCCTCAGGGCTGGATCAAATGTTTTACAAACATTAACCTTTTATGCCAGTGATGATAAATTAGAGAACAGAGGAAACTATGCAGCTGATAAATTTTCTGTAAGTAGTTTCAACCACTTTTTATTAGTAGTTTTGACAAGTAAGCAGAGTTTTAAAAATCTGTGTATTTAATCTTCATACCTTTTTGGGGGGGAGGGTTAAACAAAAGTATAGCTTTATTGTTAAACTTGCAGTATTCCAGATGTTTACATTTTCCCAGTTTCAGGAATACTTTTAACATTTGGAGTTAAAGTACCTTAAAATAACAAATGCGTGAGGTCCCTATTCTCATTGGTAACCTTTGTGCAGCCTGCGGCCGGCTTCCATCACAACAGTTTCAGGAGCAGTGCGGCCCACCACACAGGGGCTCAGCCTCCCTTGCTTTTTTTACCTCATTGTTCTCTGGTCCTTTTCTCTCCCCCACTGCCAAGAATTACTAATTTAAAGAGACCTCCTCTCACCTAACTTGAAACCCAACTAAGACTCCATTGCTCCCTAACACACTGTCAAAGTTCTCCCGTTTCCTGCCATTACAGAGTGGAGGTTTGTCTCCTTCTTCCCCTCTACCCTCTCACTGGAGCTGCCATATGGGTGGGGTGGAGACAGATCTAACCTGAAATGTAAGGAGACATAAATTACTTCATGACAGATACATAATAGAAGGACAGTTAAATTACAGGAACAGAATTTTTGCTTTATCGAAAGGTATCACATTTGGTTTTATTTCTCAGTTGTCTCCATTTAAGTCTATCTTCTCTTCAGATGTGAAGAAATCAACGTTAAAAGTGATTCATAGATGGGATAATACACCAAATAAATGATCATACATTCAAAAATCAATTTCATCTCTTTTTTTGACAGGCTGTCAAGATAAGAGCATGTATATACATAGTTGGCTATATCTCAAAATGTTTTGAGATAAGAGTTTGCAGATTTTAAGTAATACTACTAATCACTAAATGCAAAAAACACCATAGTTGGATTTGCTATAAATTTGTGATCAAGGATAGTCCATTAATATTTCACTTAAGTAAAGCTGCTTGTATGGTAATAGCTGGACGCTGACATGCAAAACTTTAGCTTTTACATATTACAGACTCAAATAATTTTCAGATAAAATGGTTATCCTTCATTTTATGTTAATTGTATTAAGCATACTGAAGTTATACCTAACAATTATTGTGGCTTATGGGGAAATCAGTTTAAGGAAGAATTAAGAGGACAGGCCATGTCAATCTAAAATAGAACAGCTCTCGTCATCAGTGATTTAATTGTGAATGAAGAAGCTAGTGTGGTGCATATAAGAAAAGGGTGAGTGAATTGGGAGGAACTAGCTTCTCCCAGTTGTGCCTACTTGGGTACTTCAGTTGTTGAGGCCTGAGGAGGTGGACAAAATACTTGGGTATATTCAGTCTATCACTTGTGTACTCAACCCTTGGCCTTCTTGGCTTACTAAATCTAGTAGGGAGGGCTGGGTCCAGGAAATTTGTAAATGCCTCATTGAGAGAGGGAGTGGTTCTAGCCTTTTTTAAAAGAGGGAGTGATCAGGCTAGTTCTGAAGAAACCAAATCCAGACCCAGAGGATGAAAACAGCTGTAGGCCAGTAGACATTATTCTCTTCCTTGGCAAGGTGCTTGAGTGGGTGATGGCTAATCAACTCCAAACACTCTAGGTTGCAACTGATTTTCTAGATCCTTTTCAATCTAGTTTCTGCCCTGGCTATGGAAAGAAACTGCCTTGGTTGCACTGTGGGTTGACCTGTACCAGGAGAAAGATGGGAGTGGGACCATGTTGGTCATCCTAGACCTCTCAGTGGCTTTCGAGTCCATTGATCATGGTATCCTCCTGGACAAGCTGTCAGTTGGGATGTGGAGCCACTGTACCACAGGGTTCCGTTCCTACTTGTATGGTTATTTCCAGTAGATGGTGCTGGGGGATTGATTTTTTGCATTATGGGGGTTGGATTATGGAGTCCCTCAGGGCTCCATTTTATCCCCTGTGCTTTTTAAGAACTACATGAAACTGCTGGGATAGGTCATCAGAGGACGTGGGCTGAAATGCCATCAATGTACAGATGACACCCAGCTCTACCTCTCCTTGTCATCTAATACAGGTGAAGTGGTTGGTGTTCTGAACCAGGGCATAGGAATGGACTGGATAAGGGCCAATAAACTGAAACTCAATCCAGATAGGATGGAGATACTATTTGTCAGTGGTGCAGCTGTCCAGCTGAGTGGTGCCTTGCTTGTCCTGGAGGGCCCCACACTTGCTCTAAAGGAACAGGTGCAGTTTGGGGGTGCTTCTAGATCTATCACTGGTATTAGAGGCCCAGGTGGCCTTGGTGGCATGGAGTGCCTTTTATCAACTGAGACCTTACCTGGACAGAGACAGCTTTGCAACAATTATTCATGTTCTGCTAATTTCCCATTGGACTATTGCAATGCCTTGTATGTGGGGCTGCCTTTGAAAGTAGTCTGGAAACTTCAGATAGTTCAAAATAGAGCAGCTAGACTGCTCACTGAGACTTGGTGATATAAACATATTATGCAACCTCTTCACCATTTACACTAGTTGCTGGCCTATTTATGGATCTAATTCAGAGTGCTGGTTTTGAACTTTAATGCCCTAAACGGCTTAAGACCAGGTTACCTGAAAGAGTAACTTCTCCTTTATGTACCTGCTTGGACCTTAAAATCATCAAATAAGCTCTCTGCCAGGTCCCCTCACCAAAAGTGGAAAGGTGGGTCTCTTACAACAGGGAGAGTTTTTTCTCTGGCGGCGTTCCATTTATGGAACTCCCTCCACATAGAGATTTAACTGGCAACCACACTAACATCATTTTGGCACCTTTCTGTTTTCCAAAGGTTTTGAATTGGCTGTTAATTATAGTTTACTTCATATTGTTATAGATTCTGAATCAGTACTTTGCAGCTACCAAGTTTATACAGGTAGTCCTCGCTTAACAACTATTCATTTAGTGACTGTTTGAAGTTATGACAGCACTGGAAAAAGTAACTTACTACTGGTCCTCGCACTTATGACCATCGTAGCGCCCCCACAGTCAGATGATCACAATCCAGACACTTAGCAACCAGCTCACACTTATAACAGTTGCAGCATCCTGGGTTTATGCGATCACCATTTGTGACCTTCCCAGCTGGCTTCTGGCAAGCAAAAATCAATGGGGAACCACGTGATTCACTTAACGACCATGTGATTCGCTTAACAACCAGGGTGATTCACTTAATGGCTGCCACAAAAAATGTCATAAAATTGGGTGCAGTCACGTGATGTCTTGCTTAATGACTGCCCCACATAACGAATTTTATGGTCCCTGTTGTCATTAAGCAAGGACTACTTGTATGCTGTTTTTATTTTACATGTTATTGTAAATATTTTTATTCAGATTGCATTTTTTTAGTGTTTTATTATAAACTACCCAAATAGCTTCAACTATTGGGCTTCAGCTATTGGTTTAAAATTTTAATTAATTAATTATATGATACTACATTTACTCCCTGGAAAGTTGCAGGTAACAAGACATTATAAAATTAAAATGGTCCAAAATTCTCAAGATCTCAAGAAAGAACATGGCATTTCAACCATGTTCTTTATTATTTTTATATGGTCTACTATTCAAGTAGATGCTTATTGATCTCTGAACTTGGAGTAACTGATGAAAGGAACACTTATGGAAACTGGGGATAGAATGAGATCCAGGTATGTCTGGACTCGTGTCTTAAACTCATGCTGATCTCCCATCCTGGGCTCAAAGTCCTTACCCCAAAATGGGATATTAATACTACCTACATTAAATTGGTCAGATCTTCTCTCTTAATAAGGCTTTCACAATCTCTGTATTTGATCAGTTTCCCTTGGTTAGACATTATTAATCAGGTTGGGCAGAGGTCAAGTGTAAAGGGGTAAATTGCTGTACTGTACTTCTGTAGGCTACAGAAACTGGAAATGATCGAAGTGTTGCTCCATTCTCATGGATAAATCAAAAGCATTCTCATGCCAGTTAACAATTGACAGCCATCGCTTGCTTTGTGGAATTGTTGATTGATAAAATGTACAACACCTTAACTATATAATATATGCAACTTTTATTTTTTTCTTACAAGATTTTGTATATTATTTAATATCCTGCTGGTGTTCTGAAGACCTGGCTCTTTACCCAGGCCTTTGGTGAGGATGACTGAAGCCTCCTTTTAACTTAGGTGGTTTTCTTTTGTTTCCATGCAGTTTGTTATTCTGCCATCTTTACCTTTTTTGTTTCTTGTTTTTATTACCTTGTTTTCATGTTTTAAATCATTTGTAAACTGCCCAAAGTCACTGGGAGTTGGGCAGCATATACATTTAATAATAATAATAATAATATAAAAATAATAATAAATAAAAAGTTAGCACTTCAACCTTTTCATTCCATTAGGGCCAGAAAATAAATGAAGCTGCTTGTGACATTGCAAAAGAGGTTGCTCAAGAAGGAGATGCTTTGGTGGCTGGAGGTGTTAGTCAAACACCTTCATACTTAAGCAGCAAGAGTGAAGCTGAAGTGAAAGCGATCTTTCGAAAGCAGTTGGAAGTTTTTATCAAAAAAGAGGTGGATTTCTTAATTGCAGAGGTAAATGAATTCACTGACAAATGATAAGTATTGCCTATCTGAGGACAACGGCTTTGATGCTTTATAATGGAAATATCAATGCTTTGGAGCATCAGGATCTGTTACTATCTGTATTTTATTTTTATTTTTAATGATGGAAGAAAGACAAAAGTGGTAAATGGGATTGCAGAGAGGAAGAGGCTTGGAAAAGTTCCAGTGTAAAGAAGGCTTTAATTTGTGCAATTACAAATATGTACAGCCCCTAATTGGATTGTATTTGTATCCTCCAAATTCTAAGACCTTTCTCAATATACAATATATACACATCCACAGACACACACACATGGTTAAATATATGCATATTTGTATCCTTCCTTTGGCAGTAAGACAGGCCCCAAACTAAATTAAGCATTGAATCCATGTGTTAATTTTATGGTTAGAAACCAGTATATTCAACAGCTGTTCTTCACATTAAATTTTAAAAAAATCACTAAGACTAATTCTAAGATTTAAAATAAGTTACTATGTGGTTTGATAGTAAATGTTTGGAGCCATCCTTTAGAAACAGCCTGCTTCTTATTTTTGCCTTGATATATTGCATTTTTTTCAGGAAAACCAAACAAATGCCCCTGAACTTATTTTCACTTTACCTCTTTTTAATTTTCTTTTCATTGTTATTGCTGTTGCTAGTATTTTGAACATGTTGAAGAAGCTGTGTGGGCAGCTGAAACTTTAAAAGAGTCTGGGTTGCCAGTTGCAGTTACTTTGTGCATTGGCCCAGAAGGAGACATGGATGGTATACCACCAGGAGAATGTGCTGTTCGACTTGTTAATGCTGGTAAGACGTCATTATAATCATTATCAACTTTGATTCAAGCTTGGCTCCTGGCAGTTTCATGGACATGTCCATGTAATTTTCTTGGCAACAATATAGAAGTGATCTGGGATGCTTTTTCCACTTCCCACGGTAGCCTACGGCTCTGATGTTTCCATCCAAGTACCAATCGAGCCTGACCCTGCTTAGTTTATGAACCCAGATAGTCATACCAAGTGGTGCCACCATCTGAGTTGATAGTAATGGTGATAATGAATTCATGCCAAAAAATAAACCTTTCTTAGTATATTTTCATAGAAAACATTAGGCCCAAAATAATTGGAAAAAATTATGGTTTAGTGTAGGGGGTCCCCAACTTTTTTGGGTCAATGGGCATATTTAAAATTTTAACAGCAGTTCATGATTTTTCACATAAAATAATGACCATAGTGAGTTTGGCCATTCAAGAAATTATTGTTGTGGTTGGCATGGCCATTCATAAAACACTTCTCAACTGAGATTGCTCCCCCAATACACCATCTAGCTCTTTAAAACATTGTGTGCTGTTCTCTAAGATCACTGTATTCCATTCCACATTAGTGTTGGGAGGGGGGCAGGTAGGCACATTCTAAATGAAACACCACTTTTTATTTTCTGCATGTTATCCATGTTGATTTGGGAGACATTTCTGAAAATAAAATTATGCTGGAGGAGAGAATTTGCTTTGCAGTGTGATGACTATCCAATAAGTATTTTTAGTAAAAGGATTTTTAGAAATGTCAGATGATACAGGAGCTCTTTCTCAGAGCCATGTGAGTATTATATATGTATCACTGAAGGCTAGTGACCAGAATTCCATCATGTCCAGTTAATAGGTCTTAAACTTAGCATCCCCAAAAAGTGAATCAGCATTGACAGTTTATATAAAACGGTTGGGTAAAGTCTCTCATTAATAGCCTTATTCTAACATTTATAACTCTCTTATTCTTTAAACTTGTAAGGACAAATAATTTTAGAAATAATTCTGTCACGTATATTAGCCACTGTAGCTAATTACCACAGCTTGCCACTTAAAGCAGCAACTTTTATAGGCAAGTGGAACAAGACCTCTCTTTATCTTAATTTTGTCTATTGAAGATTTAACAAGAGTTATAGAAGCTACTGAGTCTTCCCCTATTTGTTTTGGCTTTTTTAGTGATGTAAATATTTCCTGCATCTGTTTAGCTTGAGAGGATATCATTGTTCAGCTTAATATCATGTTGAAATAATACTTCATGGATAATCAGACATGATGCCTCTAACATTTATTTTGACCACTATTTCTATTTACTTGTATGTTAAAGTTTGGTAAAGAAATATCCAGAAAATAATTCACAGCAGTAAGGTCAAACTAATCTACTGTGAAGCCCATGAATTACCTTGATAATGAGTTCCATACTTGCATCTACCATTTCCAACATGGCAAAGACATAGCTACATTTTACAACTTCTTAAGGTGATTCCATTCATGCATCTTTAAAACACAGTTAGTTTTACATAATATTAAAAATGGTGTGTATGCTGGGCATTATCTTTAAAAATCTTGATGCTGAAAAGTGTTAACAGAAAATGTTCTTTCTTGCTCCTTAGGGGCTTCCATTGTTGGAGTAAACTGCCACTTTGATCCAGCTACTTGTCTCAAAACTATAAAACTTATGAAGGAAGGTTTGGCAGCTGCTAAACTAAAAGCACATCTGATGTCACAGCCACTTGCTTTTCATACTCCTGACTGTGGGAAGCAGGGTTTCATTGATCTACCAGAATTTCCTTTTGGTAAGATTGCACTGCTCTTTCCTTTGTAGTTATAAGGTGAGAGAAAAATAGTGCAAAAACATTAAGATCACATACTGTATATGCTGGGATTAAATGGCATATCACTTAAATTTATTTTAGAGAAGACTTGCGTATAGTTGGTCTGAAACGAAATTGATACTGTCTTGCTTAAAATGCAGGTAAAGGTAATTTATATTGGTTAACTTAAGCCACAATGGGAATTTTTCAAGGGTAACAGTAAGGTGCAAGGGTGTATAATTCAAATTAGACTGTGATGATTTCTTCACAGATATTTTAACTAGAGCTGGCATAGTTAAATTAAAATATGATTATCTTCCTTTTAAATTAGAAGTGTTATATACTGAAATACAAAGTGTAAGATGGGTTCCAGTTTTTTTCTTTTACAAAATATAATGCAGAAAGTTGCAATCCATAGATTCTGTGGTTTTTCCTATAAAGAGAGAATAGGCAATTTTAACTGGAATAACTAGGAGAAGGTTAAGAGGCTGTTCATTCCAGGATGTATACTCAGCTGATATGCATTTTTAGATATTCTCCTTAGCATTATTGGAATTCTCTAAAATAAATTTAAGTGATATGCCATTTAATCCCAGCATATACAGTATGTGATCTTAATGTTTTTGCACTATTTTTCTCTCACCTTATAAATCCAAAACATCTAAAAGACACCATACTTGGGAAGGCTATTAATTGGGTTAAATGCAAATAGGGCAGACCCGGTTTTAAAAAATAAGCTTAAGAGTGATGCTTGTAGAAAATATTATAGAAACAAAAGACCCTGTGAAATGCAGACTGACTGGAGCACAGTATTTATTTCCTCTAAATAACAGAGAAAAGAAGGTGCATTATGGGGAAAGGTTTCAGAATCAGGAAGTCTTCTTTGGCTCCAGGCCTCTTTAGTGGTATCAGTGGAGGAAGTAGGGACAAATGAAAGTCCTAGGACTCCCCAGAGCTACAGTGAGGGAAATAGGAAAAATTGGAAGAACTGAGGTTTAGAAGGCTCCAGTAGACCCCAAATTCAAGGATGTTTCCCTGAATCTCATACTTAACTATCTGACCAAACTAACCCCCAACAGCCCAAAAACAAACAAACAAACAAACAAAAAACTAAAGAAGGAAGACAGGTAGGTGAAGGAGGCAAATCTAACAAGCAAAAATTGCTCTTTCTCATATCTTTTTGAAAGATTGAGATTCCAAGGATTTATTCCTGATATAGAGATAGATCCAGGTTAGTCCTGTTTGACAGCGTTGATTTCTGGTATAGTGCTTTAATTTTTAAGACCTTGGCCTATTCCAACAGATGCAAGGAGATGGTTGTCTACAGAAGGAGTAAGGTTCAGTGTAAAGCATTTTCTATCTTTGGAGTTCTCATACCTCTCCATAAGATGAGAGTAACAGCTGCTCTTGTGAACACTCTGAAAGAGGACAACAAATACATGCTACATCTGTTTTTGGTCCTCCAAGGCTTTACTTGATTAACTTTCCTGAGACATGATTTTTTCTTAAAATAAAAATGCAAGTAATATAATTTAAATGATGCTGAGGCTAAACTCTTTGAAACTTGTCCCCATATCTCTTCTGCTTTGAGACTACAACTTTTTTCACTGCATTTTGTTATTGTTTTTTAAAAAGATGCTGAAACCAAATTACATTTGAGTTGCATGTAATTCAAACTTGAGAGCCAGTGTGCCAAAGTGAATGGCGCTGGATCTGTCAACTGGAAGCACAGTTTGGAAAGATTTACCTCTGGCCGCATACTGCTGCTTGCTCAGGATGGGAGTAGGGGAAAAAGAGGGAGTTTACATTGTGTGAACTTGCTGAAGGACAGAAAGCAGTTGAATTAGTTGTCTTTACTTCCTACAACTCTTCCAGTTATATTTTACATATTTTCTTGGGGAAGTTCAGCCTGTATTCAGTAAATAAATACAGGGATTGGGAAAAGAATAAAAGAAAATGCTGTTAATTGGGGGGGGGGGAGCCCTACCAGCAACAAACTGGTTAGAGAAACTGGAAACTGACTGGAAAGGAATGTCAGTTTGTAAATGGAGGGCTGCTCCTCCAAGAGAGATTTCAGTTTTAAGATTAGGTCAACCTTGTGGCAGGATGAAATCCCCTCATGCCAGTGCCTGGAAATTATTTAGAAGCTAAAATAGAATGAATAAATGCATAATTATCTAACCTGGTTTGTGGATGTTAAAGGAAACATCTTAAAAATAATGCTAATTTTTTGTCAGATCTGTGGATAATATTAACTGAATATTTAAAAATGTATCATTACAGCTTTGGAGCCAAGAATTGTAACCAGATGGGATGTTCACAAATATGCAAGAGAAGCTTACAATTTAGGGATCAGATATATTGGAGGATGCTGCGGATTTGAACCATATCACATCAGAGCAATTGCTGAGGAGCTGGCCCCAGAAAGGGGTTTTTTACCCCGTGCATCTGAAAAACATGGTAGCTGGGGGAGTGATTTGAGTATGCATACTAAACCATGGGTTAGAGCAAGGTAAGTAAGTTTGATAGTAAAATAATTCATTTAAAATAATTTATTTTAGAAATGTGTAGTCTTGGCAGTTGATTTAAAAGTAGCTTAATTTCATCATACAGAATCAAAATCCTATATGTTAACAGTTTTAAAGAGGAAAATATATAGAACAAAGAATAAAAGAGAGAGAGTACAAAATTGACTACTTATAAAATAAAACAAATATATTGTTTGAAGTAAAGGTCTTTAGCATGCTTCTGTTGTTCATAGTAAAGATAGTGATATTGATTGTGATCAGAATATTGACTTCTTAATGTATATGCTGAGTAGTTTCCCTACAGAAGAACAGTTATTTCCATGTATAGGAAGTCCTTGAGTTACAACCATTCGTTCAGCAATCATTTGAAGTTACAATGGTGCTAAATAAAGGAACTTACGACTGGTCCTCAAAGTTCTGGCCATTGCAGCGCCCCCACGGTCACGTGAACAGAATTTGGGTGCCTGGCAACCAGTTGTCACTTAAAACCAGTTGCAGCGCCCTGCAGTCATGTGATCACCATTTGCACCCATCCCTGCTGGTTTCCCTAATGCACACATGTACGGACACACCCCGTGCCCTTTTCCTTGGCCTCCCAGCGATCACACATATCTTGCACCCTCAGCCTCCCTGTGATCCTCACCCTGTGCCCTTTTCCTGACCTCCCTGCGATCACACATATCCTGTGCCCTGTCTGCTCAGCCTCCCTGTGATCACATGCACCTGTGCCCTCATTCCCCAACCTTTCTGAGATCACCCCGCACCGAGCGTCCCCTCCAACTTGCATGCAGCCTACACCGGGCCTCCCAGGACCTCCCCCACCCCCATGTTCCTTACCTGGGACTTCCTCCGCTTCCCACTTAATGACCCACGTGCCTTGGGTTATGACAACAAGCAGGACTGCCTGGATTGTCATTGCTAAGCAATGTGACCACATGACATCACACGTTACAACCCGCATCACTTAGCGACAGCAATCCCCGTCCCAATTGCAGTCATAACTTGAGGACCGTCTGTAATGTTATGACATTTGAAAACCAATTTACTAGTAATTCTTTGTTGTTTAAGGGATGCAGAAAAACTTCAGGTTAATGGAAATCATCGCACAGATCTGTAATATATGATCAGAGCTCTTGAAATTTCACTTCAGTTTAGTATTGATTTAACTTTTTAGAGTCAAGAATATGTTTGCCTCAAGTTTATAGTGTTCAGTGTTTTCAGTTAGACAGAATTTCTAATACATGCGTCCCAAAATCAAATATTCAAAATATGTTTTTGGCCTGATAGAGCTTAGGGCTACCACATCTGGGTTGCAAAAATCCAGGCAGTCAGTAGACATTAGCAAAGAGTCAGTCATCTCTCTGCTGCCATCCATTGCCTGATTTTTTCGACTCAGATATTGAAGCCCCAGTAGAGCCAGATCATGCAGAATCATTAGATTGACAGAACATAAGGTTTTGAAAAGGCCGCAGATATTGCTTGTTCCAACCACTTGCCATATACTAGAACCCATTATTAAAGCATCCCTCACAGAAAGCTATCCAGTCTCTATTTAAATACTTCTAGCAAAAGAGAGTCTAGTATCTCACAATCCAGTCTGTTCCATTGTTAAATTGCCCAAAGTCGTCAGGAGTTGGGCAGCATATAAATTTTACTAATAATAACTCTTACCATTAAGGAATTCTTTAGATGTCCAATTAAAATCTGCTTCCTTATAATTTAAACCATTGTTTTTGCCTTCTGTAATCACACTGAACAAGTCTGGCCCATCTTCTTCATGACGGCCTTTAAAAGACAGCTAAAACGTCTTCACGCAGTTTTTTCTTCTCCAGGCTAAATATGCCTCCAACATTTCCTTTCTTTCCAGGTCCTTTTCCTTTTGGTTGCTTTCCTCTGGATATGTTCCTCTTTGTTAATGTCCTTCATAAAATGTAATTTGCAGAACTAAATACAGCCCATATTTTGCCATCTTCTCTGCTAGGATCTTATGGGAGACTTCATCAAATGTTTTGCGAAATCAGAAGTGCACTATGTCTACTGCAGTCCCATGGTCAACTAAACTGGTCACAATCAGAAAAGGAGATTGGGATGGTTTAGTGTGATTTATTCTGCCAAGCAGTGCCTTATTTTCTAAATGCTCATGAATTATTGTGACCAGTTATTTAGGTCCTCTTTTTCCCCTTTTTCATTCTTTAATCCTCTGCCACTAAACCCATCCTCCATGATTTCTCACAGATCAAAAAAAAGGGTTCCAGGATGATATTCAAACGCTCCTTCAAGTCTCTTGGATGTAACTCTACTGGTCCTGGAGGCTTAAACTCATTCATAGTAGCCAGGTGCTGTCTAACTGCTTTGTGTTAATTAATTTGCTTAGGCCTATTTGAACACAGTTCCCCTTGAAACAAAGTAGGAGGTGAGGAACTCTGCCTTTTCCTAGTCACCTCTTATGATCCTCCTTTCTTTACCAAGCAGTGGGCTTATCCCTTCCTTTTTTTCTTCCTCTTACTGTTGAATTGGGGGGGCGGGGGAATGTTGTTTTTTGTTTCCCTTGTGAGCCTAAGTTATTTTTGCACCTTAACTTTTCTGACTTTTTTCCTGCAGGTATTAACTACTGGTTGGAATGCTTCCTCGGTTATTATGCTCATATATGCTCATACAAGCTCTTAGCTCAGTCAAGAGCTCACTGTGCATCCATAATGGTTTTCTAAGCTGTTTCCCATTTTTCTTAGTTTTTATCATGATTGTTTTCAGTCGGGATAAAATACATTAGAAATATGCTTTGTTTGTTTGTTTTGTATTTAGGGCTAGAAAAGAATACTGGGAGAATCTGTTACCTGCTTCAGGTCGGCCATATTGTCCCTCACTGTCAAAGCCAGATGATTGGGAAGTGACCAAGGGAGATCTGATACAGCAGAAAGAAGCAACAACTGAACAACAACTGAAAGAGCTTTTCAAGAAACAGTCATTCAAATCCAAAATTGTATCTTAAATTAGCAGCAATTTAATATTGATAAAAATTACAATCAATATTAAATGAGCAGAAGATACAGGAAGTGTAATTCATATTCATTAAAATATAACCTCAAACATTATCTACTTCCTTCCAGTTTGTTTATATGCACACAGTAAAAGATTCCTCATCTTTGATCCTACTGAAATAATTTTAATAGGACAGTCCAGCTGAGGGCAGACAGACAGACATTCTGTAGCCAAGCTAGTAAAGTGTTTTCTAAGCCCTGCTGGCTCACTGCAATTAGAAACTGTAAGAGGACAAACTATTTTCTTTTTCTTTCCTTTGGTTCCAGTGTTAGTTTAGAGATTTCCATAGAAGCACTCTGCAGATTCTTGGCTACTCTGACATACCCCTGAAACACTCAGCTTTGGCCCCTTCTGCCAGTGTTCCACAGATGAGTCATGCTTGTGGAACCTTCAGCTGCATAAATTCCATCACATAAACAGGCTTATTTCTTTGATAACAATTGCTGGCTCCAGTTTTGTACTTTAAGTCACATTGCATTGTTACATTTCCTTCCCAATGCCTGGGTGTAAGATTGCAGGCAAAGTATGAGTGCCTTTTAGCTTAGATATAATTTAGCTTCATCTGGGTTGCTAATATAATTTGGGGGGTCTTTTATTTGGAGCAATGTTTAACAAAATTAAAAACTATTAATACTTTGTTTTGTTTTTTGTTTTGCTTTGGATAAGAATTTAAATCATGTAATTTCATTACAAATATGTACCTTTAAAATGTTCTGGAAAATGGAATACTTAAAATAAGCTGCGTTGGTTTACAAGATGCTACTGCGGTGTTTCTCAACCTCAGCAATTTTAAGATGTGTAAACTTCATCTCCCAGAATTCCCCAGCCAGAACTGAAGTCCACATATCCTAGTTAAGAAACACTGTGCCACTGTAAATGTGTGCTCAAGAAAAATCCCAAGCTTACTAGGCACTTATACTTATAAAAGCAGGTACGTTTTCAGCCTCAGATGTTTTCAGTCAACCATCCTCTAACAAACATTTGTTGTCCATCCAGGGAGCCAAATAGGAAGACCTATTCCTACAAGATTTTTTTTTAAGCTTATCTTTTCACTTTACATCTAGGTGGAGCCATATTAATCTTTGCAGCTGTTCTCTCTTGGTTGGGCAGAGGATTCCTATATTGTATTCTGGACATATGAATACATATTCTAGATTTAGAAGATATTCTTAAAATTAAGTGTTTATAGTTTAAGCAGTTTACTATTTTGAGATGGACAAATAAAATTTATAAAACAAAATTTATCCTTATTAGCTTCTCTGGGCAAGAATAGTTAAGAACATTTATAATTAATGAAACTAAAATAATTCCAGTGAGATAATTAAAGAACTTGTTAGCACACAGCATGGCTGACTATTTTGTTAAGGCTGTTACTGAATAATTCAATTGAATCTAGTACTACAGAGGACAGTGCTGTAATTCATAGCAACCTGAGAATTCTTTCAAGTGAACTGCAGTATAACTCTAACAATAAAAAGGCTACACACACACACACCAGTTCATTACCCATGTTTAATAAGTGATAATTTTGTGAGAAAGGAAATGTTTTACTCCTCACCGTATATTGCAATTTTAGTGTTATGTCTCTCACCATTGGCTGTAATAATAGCATTTGAATGTACTAATGTCATCAAGTATCTGTTAATTTAAAAAAAAAATTGAAATGCAAGTATAAATTACTGAAGCCCCTTTGGAACATTGGCCTTGAGATCAGGTCCAAAGGCTCAGGTAAGATTCCCGTGGGTAGCAGGGTGGCTGGTAAACAAGAAGGTTGAGCTGCTGGGACAATTGGGGGAACCTAATACACAAGCACTCATACCCCAGTATCTTATGAGCACAGATCCTGGTCACAGGCAAATTTTCTCTATAGCTCACACTTCTACCCTTCAACTGTGCATCAAGATGGTTGTAGACCCCAAAATCCCAATAGGCAGTATTGTTGCTCTCACCAACCAAATTTCATTACTATGTTCCAGGTCCACCTCTTCATCCACTATTAAACTACGGATTAAAAAAAAGTCATTACAGATGGGCCTATCATTTACCATCAGCAGCTTGAGGCCAAGGGTCACCAACAGGAATCAGAATCAGGGCTGGAAATGGGGACTTGCACCAAGCTGCTAGTCACCCTTCCCCTAAAACAGCCTGCCCTGTGATCCTGCCAGAGCTCCAACCTGTCCCCACCAGGATTGACTCATCTTGCCCAGCAACATGGAATCTACCCCACAACATGGGTTTCTAGATTCTTATGGAAACTACACTCCATACCACTCTTACAATTACAGTCCTATCACTCACTTTCCACTCAAGGTCAGGAATCTGATCACACCCTTACATCAAACACCCTCCAATTCTTCACTTTATCAACTTCTACCCATATGCCTGAGTAGTTTCCCACTGGCTCAGGGTAATAGTCTTCATCTCCATTGATGATGTTACTCTAGCTAGGGGCTCTCCACAACTGACTTGCACTCAGATATAAACAAACACCCCCTGGAACTGTAATACAGCTGTTCTAACTTCACTGGTCTAACTATGATTGTCAGAGGTCCTCACATACTGGAATTCAGTTGGCTATATTCTACAGAGGTTTCTCATGCAATTTTTAACCCCATCCTCTTCTTGCCACAATTCTCATCACATTTCTGCCAGCAGTCAGCAGACCCCTTCCTTGGCTCTTTATGGTCAGCCCAAGGAACAAGAGAACTGGTCTAAACCTCCCCAATTTCTGCCAATCACTTCAGATCCCTAGCTTTAGTCACTGCTGCTGATCTTCATTTTCTCCAGTTCTAAGAGTGCCCCATCATATCGGGGGATGAAAAATTGTACCTTGATCCACCATTCTCTGTGTGGCAAAGGATTAACCATTCCAGAAAACAATGTTCCTTCCAACCACTCTAGTCCTTCAATGAATCAGCTTCCAGTCAAAGCTACAAAGTCAGCTTCCTTGAATGACCATTCTTAGCAGTCTATAAATTGGATGGTGAGTTGCCTTCTATTCCACTATTTCTCACCACCATTGTTTTTGCTCTTTCTCAAACTCTATCATTCACTGCATAACTCCACTTCTCTTTCTTTAAATCCTAAATGTAACTCACTTCCCTATCTTCTCAATGTAGCTTTACATTTCCTTGCACACAACTTTCTAACTTATATCTCTTTGTTTGCTCTCACGCTTTCATTCTCAATTTGCAATCCATACAACCACCATCTTGAAACTTATTTTTCTCATTAATGGTATGATGTGATGAGGTTGGGCAACAGGAGCTTGGGAATGAAAAATCTAGACTCCTTGCATCAGAAGTTACTATATAGCAGTACTGACATTTTAACAGCACAGACTGCCACCCACTTCACTTCATACTGAGGCATCCTTTTTTGACAGTAAGTTCAGTATAAACATTGCTATGAAAGCCAATGTCTGCTTGCAGGAGGAACCACAGGTTACTGCATTGGTGATTAAACAAGATATAAAATAAGTCACAGCAATTTTAGTGAGAATGATATATACATAATCTCTCAACCCAAACATAAAATCCATATAGGATAATCATCTTGTCAGAACAGGTTTTATCCATTACATCTTGTAAATTTTGCACAATATTATGCTGTGTAACAAAGATACCTGTTTGTGAATAAATTTGATGTGTCTGGCAAATAAGAATAAAGAATTGTCAAGTCAGTAAGGAAATGAACCAACAGCTCCAGAAATAAATAAGGGTGTGTGTTACTGATGTATTTCTAACAGTTCTGCTGGACTACTAAATTCAGATTCAACTGAGAAATCTGTCTTATTGTTTGGTAATGATATATTTGTTGTTTAATTAGCACGGTGAACTAATAAAGTAATATAAAGCATGAATATATACACTTTCCTATTTTATATAAATCTAATTATAATATAGAGTATCCAACTTGCAATATTTGGGTATTTTAAATATAATGTGTATAGGGTTTTAGAGGCACAATTTATCACATGATATATGTGTACATTAATTAAAGACTTTTATATTATAAAAATTATTATATATAAAAAGCTATGTCAGGTAGCTATAAAAAAAAACCCTCCAAATTAGGGCAGTATCTTTATTAGGCTAATTCAACTTAAAAACTAGTGTACAATTTTTCTTGAACTCTAAGATTTGCACACAGTTTTGTAACTAAATACAAATATGAATCATTCTTATTTATAAAATGTCTAATCAACCATGAACCCTAAAATTATTGAATTAAAAAGAAGAAATCCGCATATATGAAGAAAAAAATAAGAACATAACAGAAAAGAAGTAAGGAGGAGTTGAAATACATATATGAATAAGGAAATGATATAGGCATCATTCAGTACCATGTACAATTATGCATAATACTATATTACTATAACAAACAAGTAATCTAGTACATAAGGAACTCAGTTTTACAAGACTGTTACCCTGTAATCCTGGATGCAAATTGCTTCTAGTACTTACTAACAGGTATCAGAGGTTCTGGAGAGAGCTAACATTTCGGGGGAGCCAGTGAATGGCCCCCTTCTGACAGCACAAAGTTTACGCAGAAAACCATTTTCTGTCCTACTGTCTTCATTTACTAAACCTAAATATTCATCTCTGCTAAACATAACTGATAGGGATTGTGTATTTCTTTTGAATCAAGCCTGTACATCTGACCATTATCCAAACATTGTCAAAGTTTTCAAGCTAAAGTAATCTTAGATTTGTTCTGTATTGCCTGTATTATTAATCACCACTGGATAGTGAGGAAGATATATCAAATTCAGAATTTAGTATCTGGGACAGAGAGATAATCCTTGGACAAGTAAATTGGTCAACTCAGAACAAAATTATATCTTTTTAATTTAAGTGCATCACATTTAAAGATATTTTTAATGTTACTGTTGCACAATTTCATGAAATCTAATACAATACACTCAAACGTTCACATTCTGGCAACCTTAACCAAAAATAGAACAAAAGCCCTTTGTGCTAAATTACCAGGAGCCAAAATGTTCTTGAATACAGTTTGTCTACAAGAATTCAAAGCCAGTTTGCCTGTAAATAAGCTGTCATTTTGTATAACAGAAGATACATTTCTTCACACCTTGTAAAGAAGTTAGTAAATATTATTAGAAGGAAGGGCATGCTAATACAACCTCTTATCATCCCAATGTGATTATATTTTCAGGAATTTTTGTCATAAGGATTTTTCAATTACATTAGCCAGCCAGAGGCACTTCCAGATAGCACCGAATATGTTACCTAGCCAGGTAATGAAACGTTTGCAAGAAAAGAACCAAGCTCAGAGAACCCCAAGGACTCCACAGTTCAACCCTGAGCTACACATATTCGCTTCTATTGTTACTTCCAGATAACTCAATGCACCCAGAATCCGGTGTCCACAAATTGATAATTATTGGTATGAAATGGCAGAATCAATGTTGGGAGCTAGAAAAATAATTCTGTCTCAACTGGGTCAACAGCAATTGTGTTTCGAATCTTGTGTACATTGCAGCTATTTTTAGTGTTACTCACCATCATTCCTATTTGTTGCTACTGCTATTGAAAGAGCTGTTTGGACACTCAACCAGTTGAAGATGATGGCTACACTTCAAAAGAGTTTACTGTCATCTGTACCTCTTAGCCCTTTGTGCCACAATTTCTTACTTAAGAGGTTCCCTGAGCATTTGGGGGAGGAGTTGACTGATGCAGTTGTTACCAGAAAATGACCTTACAGAGTTGCTGCATCTGAGTTATAAAAATCCAGGTGACTTCTTTTTCTGTAACTCTTTGCTGCCATCTAGTGGTTGCCTATCCCAGTTACAGCAAGCCTGCCTTTTTGTTACTCCCTTCCCCCAGTATTTCTTTGGGCATATCTACATGTCCCCCTATCTTCAGTTTCAGCCTAACAGTTCTTGAGGGACATCTCTGCATGACACTGCCTTCCTCTTAATCCTAGCTCATAGCCAATATCAGCCAACTTCACGATTTTCTGAAGTTAAAATGGTGTTTTCTGACTTCTCCCAACATAAGCTTTCCAATTTCCAGCATGTATGGTGCTTTAGTGGTGACTTAGCTAATAATTCAACAAGGAATCTACTCACCTCCTGTGAACCCTTTTTGGCCGGTGCAGCCCCCTCTCCTCTGGTCTCCTCTGGTCACTACCCACCTGTGGGTAGTGGTGGGTAGTGGCTGACAGGCAGCTCATATAGCGGGGAATAATATGACTCTGAAAAAAGTCAAAGCAAATGAAAATCTTTGCCTGACTTAGCAGTCAAATGTTCTTGATTAAAAACAAGCAATATACAGTAGCTTTAAGAGAAGTAAACTGATGAGATTAATCAGTTCCAGGGATGTAGCCATATTGCTCTGTTACAACCACACAAAAAGGGCACTCATCTTAAAACAGAGTGGGCAACTTTTCAGTCCTGTGGGCTACATGTGTAGTGAGTGGCAAAATATACACACAGATGTGCACTGAAATGCATGCATGTACGTACATAAGCAAACCCCCCCCTCTATGTTTGCATGTGTGTATATTTACACACATATACATAAAAGGTAGGATAAAAATTGAAAAATGGGGATTCTGTATTTTCACTGGATTTGAAACAAGACACAGCACAAAACAGTTCTTGTGCCTTTTTTCACTTTTTATTAGGAAATCAAATAGTAGTTAATTTTGGACAAGAGTTATTTATAGCTAGATAACTACATTCCTCCAGTAGCAATGTATGGCTGTGAGAGCTGGACCATAAAGAAGGCTGAGCGCCGAAGAATTGATGCCTTTGAACTGTGGTGCTGGAGAAGACTCTTAAGAGTCCCCT